TTGATATTAATGCCACCTGAAAGGTTAATATGAATGCCACCTGCAAGGTTAATATGAATGCCACCTGAATGCTTAATATGAATGCCACCTGAAATCGTAATATGTATGTCACCTGAAAGGTTAATATAAATGCCACCTGAAAAGTTGATATGAATGTCACGTAAATGCTTAATACGAATGCCACCTGAAAGCTTAATATGAATGCCACCTGAAAGGTTTATATGAATGCCACCTGAAAGGTTTATATGAATGCCACCTGAAAGCTTAATATGAATGCCACCAGAATGCCTAATATGAATGCCACCTGAAAAGTTGATATGAATGCCACCCTAAAGGTTGATATGAATGCCACCTGAAAAGTTGATATGAATGCCACCTGAAAGGTTAATATGAATGCCAGCTGAATGCTTAATATGAATGTCACCTGAATGCTTAAAATTAATGCCACGAATGCTTAAAATTAATGCCACCTGAAAGCTTAATATGAATACCACCTGAAAGCTTAATATAAATGCCACCTGAAAGCTTAATATGAATGCCACCTGAATGCTGCTTAATATGAATGCCACCTGAATGCTGCTTAATATGAATGCCACCTGAATGCTTAATATGAATGCCACCTGAATGCTTAATATGAATGCCACCTGAATGCTTAATATGAATGCCACCTGAAACGTTAATATGAATGCCACCTGCAAGGTTAACATGAATGCTACCTGCAAGGTTAATATGAATGCCACCTGAATGCTTAATATGAATGCCACCTGAAATCGTAATATGTATGCCACCTGAAAAGTTGATATGAATGTCACCTAAATGCTTAATACGAATGCCACCTGAAAGCTTAATATGAATGCCACCTGAAAGCTTAATATAAATGCCACCTGAAAGCTTAATATGAATGCCACCTGAATGCTTAATATGAATGCCACCTTAATGCTTAATATGAATGCCACCTGAATGCTTAATATGAATGCTACCTGCAAGGTTAATATGAATGCCACCTGAAATCATAATATGTATGTCACCTGAAAGGTTAATATAAATGCCACCTGAAAAGTTGATATGAATGTCACCTAAATGCTTAATACGAATGCCACCCGAAAGCTTAATAAAATGCCACCATAAAGCTTAATATGAATGCCACCTGAAATCTTA